TTGCATGTTAACTCTATTTTACATCCCCGAGATAAATCTCACTTGGATTTTAGTACACAGCATTTTTGATGTTTTGTTAGATTTAGTTTTCTATCATCAACAAAGGTATTTGCCTATATATTTTTTTCCTTGTGTTGTCCTTGATGGTCTTGGTATCAAGGTGATGCTGGACTTATAAAATGAATTTAGAAAATTTCCCTCGACTTGCATTTTGGAGATGAGCTTAAGAAGGATAAATTTTAACTTTTCTTTTAGTGTTTGGTAGAATTTATAGCCATGAAATCATCTGGTTCTAAGCGCTGTCTCACTGAGATTGATTTCTTTCATTCTCATTTGATTTTGAGCTGTTTAGTTTCTTCTTGACTCAGATTTTCAGTTTCTTCATGATGCAGTCTTGGTGGGTCATATTTTTTCAGAAATTTATCCATTTTTTCTAGTCCAGTTTGCTGACATGTAAGTGTTCACAATAGCCCCTGAAGATATTCTTTACTTCTGAAGAATTACTATAATATTTATCTTCACTTTTTCATTTTCTTTTTTCTCTTTTTTAGTATATTTAAGGGATTTTCAATTTTGTTTAATTTTTCAAAAAGACCAACTCTTAGTCAAGTTTTTTCTATTTTTGACTTGATACTTCCCTCTTTTATTGCTTCTACTGTATCTCCTAAGTTTTAGTAATCTGTTTTATTTATTTGAAAGGCACAGTTACAGGCCAGCGCTGTGGCTCACTAGGCTAATCCTCCACCTGCGGCGCTGGCACACCGGGTTCTAGTCCCGGTCAGGGCGCCGGATTCTGTCCCGGTTGCCCCTCTTCCAGGCCAGCTCTCTGCTGTGGCCAAGGAGTGCAGTGGAGGATGGCCCAAGTGCTTGGGCCCCGCACCCCATGGGAGACCAGGAAAAGCACCTGGCTGCTGCCTTCAGATCAGCGCGGTGCGCCGGCCTCAGTGGCCATTGGAGGGTGAACCAACGGCAAAAGCAAGACCTTTCTGTCTCTCTCTCTCACTGTCCACTCTGCCTGTCAAAAAAATTAAAAAAAAAAAAAAAAGAAAAGAAAAGAAAAGAAAAAAAAGGCACAGTTACAGAGAAGAGAGAGATTCCAAATGGCCACAGTGGCTGGGGCTGGGTCAGGTGGAAGCCAGGAGCCTGAAACTCCATCCAGATCTGCCACGTGTGGCAGGGGCCCAAGTGGATGTGGCGCCACATACTGGAGGCAGACAGGTCAAGAATTAAAGCATGAGTTTGGTTTGGGGCATGTATTTGTTTAAAATTTTTTTAATTTTATTTGGGAGCCAGATACATAGAGAGAGCTCCCTTCCACCCGTTCAGGGGCAGAAGCTGGAGCCAGCCACTTGAACCAGGTCTCCAGTGTGAGTGGCAGGAGCCCAAGCATTTGAGCCGTCTCCACTGCCTCCCAGGATCTGCAGTAGCGGGAAGCCTGAGTCAGAAGGTACTACACTCGGGCACTATATTCCCCAAATGGCCACAAGGGTCGGAGCTGGGCCAGGGGCTTCTTCCTTCCGGGTCACTCCCGGCGCGGGTGCAGGGGCAGAAGCACTTGGGCCATCTTCTAACGGCTTTCCCAGGCCATCAGCAGGGAGCTGGATCAGAAGTGGAGAGGCCGGGATTCCAGCCGTCGCCCATATGGGATGCTGCTGCTGCTGCTGCAGGCGGATGCTTAACCTAGTAGGCCACCGCGCCCAGCGCCCGCCCGGCCGCTGGCTGTGTGTCTTGATGCGTCAGATAGCCACAGGATGACCGCTCTTCAATACCTACACACAGCAATCTGGAATGCAAGGGACAGGGGAAATCTGGGCTGCCACAGAAGGGGACGGGCTCACTTGGTGAGACCCTCAACCCTGGTGAGCTCACAGGGCACACTTTAACCAAAAGCGTGTTCAGATGTGGCTGCAGGGCATCCAGAAAGCTCGAGTGACGTGGCGCTGGCTCTAAGACACCCCCCTAGGCCGGCTGCGAGCCTTAACGCATCCCACTTAAGCCGAGACAGGGCAAGTCCGGAGCGCCCCACTGCGCGCCGCGCCAGGCTCTGCCGTCCAGCGCGGTCTATGCAGGGGTCGGGATGGGGATTCAGGCTGTCCCCGGCCGTCAGTCCTGCGTAACCTCCCGCGGGCGGACGCTCTTACCCTCACCGTCGGGCTTCGGTGGAGACCACTGAACTGAGGACTAGGACGCGGCCGAACCCCGGGGCCGGATGCCCTCAGCATTGCGCAGGCGCAGCCGGAAGTGGGTGCCGAGGAGGCCGGGCAGCTTCCGGCTTGCCCGCGGCCGCGGTGGCACCAGCGGGAGGCTCCGGAGTGGAGACCCGGGATCCCCGAGACCAGGGAGGCCGTGCAGCTTCCGGCTTGCCCGCGGCCGCGGTGGCACCAGCGGGAGGCTCCGGAGTGGAGACCCGGGATCCCCGAGACCAGGGAGGCCGTGTAGCTTCCGGCTTGCCCGCGGCCGCGGTGGTACCAGCGGGAGGCTGCGGCGTGGAGACCCGGGATCCCCGAGACCAGGGAGGCCGTGTAGCTTCCGGCTTGCCCGCGGCCGCGGTGGTACCAGCGGGAGGCTGCGGCGTGGAGACCCGGGATCTCCGAGGCCGGGGAGGCTGTGCAGTTTCCGGCTTGCCCGCGGTGGCATCAGCGGGAGGCTCCGGAGTGGAGACCCGGGATCCCCGAGACCAGGGAGGCCGTGTAGCTTCCGGCTTGCCCGCGGCCGCGGTGGTACCAGCGGGAGGCTGCGGCGTGGAGACCCGGGATCTCCGAGACCAGGGAGGCTGTGCAGCTTCCGGCTTGCCCGCGGTGGCACCAGCGGGAGGCTCCGGAGTGTAGACCCGGGATCTCCGAGGCCGGGGAGGCCGTGCAGCTTCCGGCTTGCCCGCGGTGGCACCAGCGGGAGGCTCCGGAGTGGAGACCCGGGATCTCCGAGGCCGGGGAGGCCGTGCAGCTTCCGGCTTGCCCGCGGTGGCACCAGCGGGAGGCTCCGGAGTGGAGACCCGGGATCTCCGGGGCGGCGCGAAGCCTTCTGGGAGTGCTGTCACCACGCCCCTCACCCCGGACTCAGCTGCCCAGCCCTGCCCAGGGAGCCCGAGGTATCCGGCCCTGTACGGCTGCCGCGCAGCACAGGCTGGGAGGTCGATACCTAGTGCTGTCCCCTGGAACACGGTGAGATGTCCTGCCACGTTCTGGGAAGCAAGCGATTTTATTCCCTTTATCAAATGACACCAAGTCACTCACTCATGAACTGTCTCCAAACCACAATCCCGCCAGTCTTCAAAATCCACTTCACTGCTATCTAAAACCAGTGTTCCTTAAAAAAAAAAAAAAAGTCTACCTCCTTGCCATCAACATAAAAAAGCATTTATTAGATGCCAAATTACATATCAGACAGACAACCACTGTTGAGATCTGGCGATCTAGTGCTAAGTCTAAGAGAAGGTTTCACAAAAAAATAAAATTAAAACATTAAACAGAAGAACAGTAAAGTACATATTACAGACATACTTATGAGGTATCCACGGGAACAAGGGATTACAGCATATTCTTGGATTTATATAAATGAGTATTTGTATCACATCCTCCTCATCCCTAGACTGTTCATGCAGGGAGGGGTGGCAATTGTAAGATTAAAGACAAAATGCCTACGGTCAGATGGGCCTTGGGAAGATGGGTAATAGCGATCACTCCATCAGATGAGCAGCTCTCCTGGCCTACAAAGCTAGAACAAATGAATGTACTTCTACACATCGTTAATGAAGATCATCTTGCTACTTTTTAAACAGTCAAAGCAAAAATACAGTCCCACTGAAATCCCTGGGTAACAAGATTCCTGGACATTTAATAGACTATTGAGATAAACTATAATCTGCTGTGCCTGCCTTCTCCTTGGACACATAAGCAGTAAACAGATCACTGAGACAAATGTGCAGTTTCAGGTTGTATTACCCCTTATTTTGCCGTTTACAAGAACACTGCCAATTGTGTGGTCTCACAGGACTCACAGACTCAAAAAGGCATTTACTGTGAAATGTCATTTTTTAGCTTTAACTCCCTTAACTATTTAGTTATTAATTTTTATGCTAGGCCAGCGCCGCAGCTTACTAGGCTAATCCTCTGCCTGCGGCGCTGGTATTCCAAGTTCTAGTCCCGGTTGTGGCGCTGGATTCTGTCCCAGTTGCTCCTCTTCCAGTCCAGCTCTCTGCTGTAGCCCGGGAAGGCAGTGGAGGATGGCCCAAGTCCTTGGGCCCTGCACCCGCATGGGAGACCAGGAGGAAGCACCTGGCTCCTGGCTTCGGATTGGCACAGCACCAGCCGTAGCAGCCATTTGGAGTGTGAACCAATGGGAGGAAGACCATTCTCTCTGTCTCTCTCTCTCACTGTCTAACTCTGCCTGTCAAAAAAAAAATTTATGCTAAATGAGGAAATGTGAAGGAATTATTTGCAACAACAAAGTTTTTTTTTTTTTTTTTTTTTTTTTTTTTTTTGCACTGGGGTGGGTGTTCAAGTCCCAGCTCCTCCACGTCCCATTCACGTGGGTGGCAGGGGCCCAAGCACTTGGGCCATCTCCTGCTCCTGTCCAGCAGGGCGCTGGATTGTAAGTGGAGCAGCTGGGACTCGAACCGGCACCCATGTGGGAATGGCGACTCTGCAGGCAGTGGCTTTACCCACAACGCCACAGCACTGGCCCCCTAACAACAACATTCTAAATCAAACTATTTTGAGCCCAACTCCTTCAGAAGCAACAACTAAATTCCAAAATCAAGTTTAAAAATGTGATTTAGATGCTGACATTGGACTTCTACTGGGAAAATGCTGTTTTCATCAATGATTGCTGTTTAACAGAAATTTATATCCCAGAATTCATGTAAAGGAATTGTTTGGTATACATTTGCAATACTGCATCAACAACAAAAACCCAAAAAATTTGTTCAAGAATCAATTACTTCATGCAAAAATTTTCAGTGTTAACATCTATATAGCAAAATGTAGTTAACCCACCATTCATAACAATAAACTCTTGCATTTATTTTTCTAACACTATATAAAACTTTATCCAGTATTTGCTAACATCATAAGCTAACAATACTGCTCAGTTAATAACAATCATATGTAATCTGTCTCCATCAATTGACATGGTAAAGGAAAGGGTGAAAAAAACCATTATCCTAAAAACAGTCTGAATGTCATTAATAGACAAACCAGTTCCTTCAACTCCTTGTGGGCAGAGCAGCTTGAATTACATCCAGCACATGTTTTTAGGAAACAGTGTACAATAAAGCAACAAATGAAAATATGCCTATTTCACAATAACTGACATTCAGATTTTAGAAATTTTTTCTACACACCAATCACAATATTATTTCAAAGAGCCATTTTAGTTACACTGATGTGTAGGTTAATGTTTCTGTAAGAATAGTATTTTTCTAACCTTTTATGTATGTTTGGCATAATCTTCCAAAAACCCTAGAATAAACAATGCTACAAAAACTTGAGAGGGTAACTGTAAATAAAACCTCATCTGTAAAGGTGAATTTCTATACTGAGGTTCAGAACAAGATTTATGCCATGAATTTGCACCTTCCCCTATACTTTTTTAGGATCAAAAGAAAGGATAACAGCTCCTATCTTTCATATCATCAGCCTCACTCTGTCCTGATGCCTTCTAAAATACTCCTCTCTTGGGGCCGGTGCTGTGGCGTAGTGGGTTAAGCCACTGCCTGTAGTGCTGGCATCCCATATGGGTGCCAGTTCAAGACCCAGCTGTTCCACTTCCTGTCCAGCTCTCTGCTATGGCCTGGGAAAGCAGTAGAAGATGGCCTAAGCCCTTGGGACCCTGCATCCGTGTGGGAGACCTGAAGAAGCTCCTGGCTCCTGGCTTCGGATCGGCACAGCTCCAGCTGTTATGGCCAACTGGGCAGTGAACCAGTGGATGGAAGACCTTTCTCTGTCTCTCCTTCTCTGTGTAACTATGACTTTCAAATAAATAAATAAATCTTTTTTAAAAAAAATACTCCTCTCTACTGCTTTCTGTGGCAACTCTGTGAGTAGGGGCCTCTTTTCCAATTTCACTGCCCACCATGCAACTCTTCACTGTCTTGGCTGAAATATTAGAGCCTTAAAAATGTGCTGATGAGGCAGTGGGCCAGTTTTTCCCACTAAGGGCAGAAGAGAAGGGAGGTGTTGCTCTCCATGATTTTTGGCAAAGATTATATCCCAGAGTTGGCTAAAAAAAAAAAAACAAAAACAAAACAAAACAAAAAAAAAACAAAAAACAAAAAAAAAACTAACTGGAGGCCATCTTTCTGTACTACCTGAAGTACCTCACTGAGAGACCAACTGAAGAGACCAGAAGGCCTATTATAAAATTTAAGACTTTGCAGCCTTGGCAGATTGGTATCCTGACAGTGGAGACATGGGAAACTGTTGCAGTTGATTTCTCAACAATGTTGCAGTGGATTCCTTTCTGAGAGGAGGAGCGTGCTGGGGGCAAGAGGCACGGAGCCACCACACAGACCCTGAGAGTCGGGTGAAAGCGGAAAAGTCAAGTCTGACCTTGACATCCAGAGTATCTCGTCTTAAGAGTGGCTTTGCAAACACAGAAAAGTCAAGTCTGACCTTGACATCCAGAGTATCTGGTCTTAAGAGTGGCTTTGCAAACACAAAACAAGAATGACAAGAAGGGAAAAGAGAAAAGGCAAGTTTGGTTAAGGCTACTGATTCATTCACCAGCATGATCTTCCCCTCTGTTAAGTGTTAGGGCCTAGGTGTAGTGGGCAGCATCTTTGGCATGTTCAGTTGTGTCTCTGTTCTGTAGAAGGACTGTCCTCCAATTAGTCTTCAAGAGGCTTTTGTTTTTGCTAATGAGATTTCCCAATAATTCCATTTTAGTAAATAATGTACCTTTGCATTGTCTAAATACAGTAAGATCATTCTTCTGTCCCAAAGGCCCACATAAATATTAGTTTGTCGATAGGTATACAATCACTTTGGCTTTAAAGAGAAACCCATATGAATATATATTTACAACATTTTCTGGTTCTTTAACATTAATAACACATTATTTAACAATTTTTTTCCAATATGTGTAATAGCCGTATCTAGACATATGTTATCAAGTATTTTGGTTAAAAATCTAACAATTTTCTAAATTATTTTTCTTTGGAGATGGAGAGGAAATGTTACTTCTTTAAAAAAAAAAACTAAAACTTTCAGGATGTATTCTGTGTAGCTTGGACTCTCTGCTTGGATGACAGGGATGGGAGTTCAAACTCAAAGTCTTGGGGAGTCTTCTGTTGCCTTATAACAGTACAAGTCAGTCAGGCTTGGGTAATGAAAAAGGGAACAAAGGGGTTCCGGAATGTAAGTTCACGGGTCATTCTCCAGGCCGGCCAGGCTCACCTCCCTACCTCAGCCTCCCTGGTTGCTTGTAGTTCTATCATGGGCCATGGATGCCAATAAGAAAGGCAGTATCACAGAACCTGTGGCCTTTGGAATTAGAGACACCCAAGTTCAAATGCCAGTTTCATCACCATGTGATTTCTTGCATGCAGGGCAAAGTACTGACTTTATCCTCAGAGGCCTTCGGTTTCCTCATTGCTATGAAACAAGGATAGTCCTTTCTCTGTCACAGATTTATTCTGAAGCTTAAATCATGTAAATAACATATTCAGTAAAAAACAGTCATGATTATTCACAGCAAGACAGGCGGCCTGCTCCAGTAGAGACAACCAAGTCCTTTCCCTCCCTACTCTACCTTTAAGTCAGGTCCAGCCTCAAGGAAAGCATTATAGTGAAATCACTAAAGCTCCTTAGAAACAGTTGAGTCATAATTGCCAGTACCTCCCCCTGACGTCAGATCTGAGAATGGGAACTCCATAGAAAGTAATAACCGTCAAAATATCAACTAGTACACTCTTTTGGGAACTTTTTAGGGGGTCAGGGAGGAAGAGCTTCTCAACTCCTCTAGAAATTCACATGTTAAGAATAACATCATACAAATATTACATTCAAATAGTTATACCAAAAAAGTATAAAAACATTTACTTTCCTAGATACAGTATCTGCAAAAACATTAAATTCTCCTCTAAAATTTACTTAGAAACCATGTAAACAAAAGGAGAACTCTAGCAACAACCTTTATTTTAATGAAAACTTAAAGAAAAAGTTCTGTATTGTTCTCTGGCTCATAAAAACGGAATGTGAACCATAACTGAATTTCAGTCCTGGCTATGTGATCCTGATTATGCTCTTCGGCTCTCACATAGAATATAACCCAAGGTTGTGCTAAGAATTATACATTATGTGGAATGTGTTTAAGGTGCTTAGCAAGATGCCTGGCACATAAACAGCAACTCTCACCCCCACCCACCCCGTGTAGATACTGAAAAGCCCAAGCATGAATGACAACGTGTTACATTTACTTGGTGTTTTTCCTATGAGTTCGCTTATGCGTAATGAGATGCATATTCGCCCTAAACCTTTTTCCACATATGGGACATTTAAAAGGTCCCTCTTCCGTGTGGCTCTTCCGATGGCGTGCAAGTTCGGAATCTGATGGAAAGCTTTCTGCACATGTTCTGCATTTGTGGGGCTCTTCTGTGTGAGTGTTCTGATGGGAAACAAGCTCAAAGAAACAAGGGAAAGTCGTGCCACACTCCTGACATTGTAAGGGTTTGAATTTTGAGAAAGAAAAGTTTCCATGGTCATTGCTGCAGCCTTTGGAATCCTCCGGGTGGCTCTTCTCTGGGAGGGCAGAGCATGAGAGCTGCCCCAAAGTGCTCACACACTGAGTGTTCTGGTATGGGGTAGCTGATGAGTGCGTTTTCTCTTGCAAAGCAAGATTTGTTTTCTGAACAACATATTTCTCAGGGTTGGCACATTCATAGGCTTCCTCAGCACTGTGGCTTTTCTGATGCTGTGCCAATCCTGGAAGCCACATAAAACTTCTTCCACATATGCCACAAGTATAGGGTTTTTCCTTTACATGGCTATTCATGTGCTGGGACAGGTGTGACTGCTGGCGGAAGCTAGCACTGCACTTGGCACACTTATAAGGCTTCTCACCAGTGTGGATTCTCCTGTGTGTCCTCAGGTTGGCTCTGTGATTGAAGATCTTCCCACAGTCACCACATTTATATTTTTTCTCTACTGAGTGAATTTTCTGATGCAAAACAAGGTAAGAATTGTCACTGAAGCTTTGGTCACATTCAGGACACTTGTACACATTTTTAGTTTCTTCCCAGGGAAATTCAAGAATTTCAGAAAGTTCTCTGGTTCCTAAAAGTTGAGATAGTTCTACTAATGGAGTATGGTTTTCAATGGTAACCAAAAGGCTTATGAACCTTTTCTTGCAAGTGGGAGTTCCCACTGATATTTTCCTTTCAGGGTTTTCAACACCATCCTCAGAAGATTTTTCTTTGTAATAGGCAAGCGGTGCAGCTGTGCAGTAATTTTCTAGGGCAAGTTCGTCAAGTTCCATTGACTCTAGGCTTAACTGCTGATTAATCTCAGTCTTGCCTTCCCCTCCTGTTGATAAAAACAAAATAAATCAAAACATAGACAATACCTTCAGGTGATGTGAGGGAAAGTACAAGCTAAGGTAATTACACAGAGCCCCAAGAAATTGTAAGTGGTTTATCTTAGAACCCTGGTACTAATAAATATACAAAGTCAGAAGCCAGCAGGCTCTCCTGGCTTCCCAAAAGACTCAGTTCTAGGTGAACCTGCAAGAGAATAGCTGTGCCTAAGTCAGGGCCCAGGGCGATAGCTACTAAAGACAATCGTAGACATCCAGGTGTGTGGTTTTCAAGTTAGTCTATGTAGATCTTTTTATCATTTAAGTTATCTCAAGTAGCAGCTGGACAATCACAACTGGAATGGAGATTGAAATTCATATTTATCAAGAGAGAAAGAAGGCAAGTGAGTATTTTCCTACCTTATCAGAGAAGCACACAGGTTACTAAAAATTGTTTTATTTTCACCAAGAGAGGACTCCAAAATTTCTTTACTCTTCAATGAAGAATGATCAAAGTGCAGCTACTGTGTGGTACTACAGGCAAGTAACAGCCAATTTTACCACAAGAATGGCTGACAAAACTTGAGCCTGCCAAAAAAGCATTTCTTTTTAACATTTTTCCAAATAAGCTGGCCCTCCATATCCACAGGTTCTGCATCTGTATATTCAACCAACTGTGGATTGAGAATATATAAAAAAGGTTGCATCTGAATATACATCCATACTGAACATAAACATTTTTGTCATTATCCCCTAAACAAGTCAGTTAAAAAATAACTTCATTGGCATTTACATTATATTAAGTATTGTGGGTAATCCAGACATGACTTAGAGCATACAGGAGGATGTGCATAGGTTATATGCAAATACTATGGTATTTTATTTAAGGGCATCTTCAGATTTTGGCACTCTGGGGGCAAAAGGAGGTCCTAGAACCAATTTGCCAAGGATACAAAGGACAATTATATTTTTAATTTATAAAGCCAATATAGCAATACAAAACAAGTCTTTTCTCAAAACATCTATGACTGGTCCAAATGATTGACTGGAAAGGGTGCAGTACAGTATATAGGAATGCAAACAATACCCAGTGGTTTTGTTTGATTTGAGGAAACTCTAATTTCAGAGATCAGGGATGCCAAGGCAGCTAGAATTTGACAGCAAAGTGATAAGGAAGAGGCAAACTTCCTCGAAAGAGAACTCATGGCATCTACATGGTGTCTCCTTAAGACTTAGCTGCTGAGTACTACTGTATAAACACCTGACAGAACCACCCAAGGCCACAAAAAGAACCACCAAAAAGGAATATCCAGAACGTTAGCCAGAGCTCACTCAGCAGTTTATGTTCCCCACTTTTAGTGGAAATACCTCTAACACACAGGACATCAAATAATCTCCTCAGAAAAATACTGTCTTACCAGTAGGCCAAATCAATTCTAAAGACTAATCAAAACCTGCCCTAACAAAGCAAAACAGCAAATCTTGATAGATTGGCTTGATAGTAACTTAACTGCACTCTACAACAAAGCTTAGAATTATTTTGAAAAATTCAACAAAATCCCGATTCCAATACTATAAAATTCAAAATGTCTAACATCCAATCAAAAATTGCCAACCATGCAAAGAAGCAGGAAAATATAATCAATAAGTAGGAGGAAAATCAATCAATAGTAACAGATCCAAAAATGACACAGATAAAAATATTTAAATAGACACAGATAAAAAAATATTTAAATAGCTATTATAAATATACCCCTATGTTCAAGAAGGTAAAAGCAAATAAGAACATGGCAAAGAAGTAAAAGATATGAGTTATGGAATACTTTAGATACTTAACCCTAGTCAGAGATACACTCTTCAGGCAGAGGAATACTTCTGCATAAAGGGTCCCCTTAGGCGAGAAAGCCATGGCACATCTTAAGAGTAAATCAATTTCCAACATTTAGCAAGTGATGATAACCTATATTAATCAGGTTTCCAAGTAAAAAGGTAAATTCAACAAATATTTAGGAAGATGACCAGGTATCACCACATCTGTGTGAAGCCACAGCCACTGGACTAAACTGGATTTCGTCTTTTAAGGAGTCATCTCATCCTTTGAAACTTGCTCTCTGGCACGTTCTCGTCACATGCACATAAATCACCGAGGGACAGGTCCTACTCCACACACCAACATGTGGCCCAAACTCGAAATTCTCATCCTGGAACGGAGGCAAGTGCTAAAAGTGCAGGGAAAACAATTGCCTGACCCATCAAAGCGACATCCTCAGAACACCCCTGTGTCGCCTCTCTGCTGCGGGACCTCTGAGACGCACACTCTCCTCCTGAGAAACATACACAGCCAGGTCCTCCGCGGGCCCTGGTCCCTGAAACAGGATGAGAGCCCATTGCGGGCAAGAGGCCAGAGGGTCAGCCCCTCCCTCGGACGAGGAAGGCTGCGCAGAGGAGAAAGCGGTTCGTGTAACAGGTTCGCAAGCGCTGTGTGGGTGTGAATGGGCCCGGCGGTAGTTTAGATCAGCGCGGGACACTGTAAGAATCGCGGAGTCTCGGGGAAGGGAAGAGCTGAGGGAGCGCTCCTCGGGGGAGTGGTGGCGGTGCGTGGGAACCGACGAGAAGGATGGAGAAAGAAGATGGACAGCTCGGGAAGAATCAGGGACAAGACGGAAGTTCCCGGGTCTCCCAACAACCTTCCTTTGCTTTTTTTCCAACCACGACAGTCACGGCTGAACTCACCGCGGCACTCACCCAGGCTCACTCCTCCTCCCCTACGATTCCCAGTCCTATAAACCAACGGGAATTTATATTGTTCGGCAGGTGTGAGCCCAGGAATCCGCGATTTTGAGAGACACCGTGTGGTGGCTCGGCAAGAAGAGGTAGCGGGTGAAAAGGCACCTCATCTCACCTGGGGCTCGGCTGGCCACAGCATAGACGCCATCTCTCAGGGGAGACAAAGCTACGCGGGGAGAAAACAGCCCTCAGAGCGGCCGGTTCGGCGGCAAAGCTCGGCCGCGTACCCCCAGCCTCCTCCTGCCCCCCAAGTCTCTCCAAGAACCCGAGCCGCACCGCTCTTCTCCCGGCCTCGCCTCTGAAGGGCCCCACTTACTGCTCCGGGACTAGCGAAGCCTCCCGCTACCCCGGCCGCAGCAGCGACAGAAGGCGACGCCCAATCGGGACGCTACGCGACGGCGACGAAGGCGACGGCCGAGGGACCCAGCCCCGCCCTAGCCACACCCTGCCCTTGGATTGGCCGGCGTGCTCCCGAGGGGCCGGCCTTCTTTCCGTGGTAGCCAATCGGACAGCTCTAGTCGAGGCCCGCTCGCACAGCGGGCCGTCCCGAGGTGTGGTTTTCACTCCGTGGCTCCGAGCAAGCGTTTCCGGTTCCGCTGACTGGGTCTCCCGGGCGAGCTCTGGGCCTGGCGACCGGCTGGAGTGGACGCGAGGGTGACCCCTGAGGGACGTGATGTTTCCGAGGAGAAGGAAAGCAGGAAGACAGGGAGACGCCACGACTCGAAAGAGTAGGTCACGCAATGTGGGCGCCCCGTGGGCCCGGATTCCGGGTGTGCGCGGGGTGAGGCGAACCAGAGGCTGGGGATGGCCGGCCCAGCCTTGACCGGAGCAGGCCGCCGAATCCTAGGAGGGCGGTGGGGCCGTGGAGCGTGGAGAGGCGTTTCCGGGCACACAGGTCAGGGCTCGGAGGTAGGCCACGTCGCTGGCCTCTGCCTTGAAGTGTCCCACGGGCCGTGCACCCTGGGACCGCAGCCCAGCCGCGCCATTGCAGGCTGAGAGCCACGGTGGACCCGCAGCGGGAGCAGGGCGGTGGGCTTGCTGCGCGCGCAGTTGGTGGTCTCCTAAGGCCTGGCGTCTGACGGGTTCCAGCACCAGAAATACCCGCTGTGTTACTGTCGCTGGGTGCTGGCGTGTGGAGATTCGGAGTTTGAAAGTGGAGCTCTTTCCCAAGCTCTGGCACTAATTGTTCACGTAATCTTGGCCAGTTTCTAACTTCGTTTTCCGCGCTTGTGAAGAGCTCAGAGTGCCTGTCCTCAGTAACTGAAGAGGGGAATTTCAAAGATTATAAAATAACGTGAGAGCAGATCTCCTCGTGTTTTCTTATTCTAGCGCCAGGCGGGTACCTACACCTAAAAGGTTACTCAGGTAATGGCTGCATGGCTGTGAAAACAATATTAATGGGCGAGGCATCCTGTGTCAGAGTGCCCGGGAGTGAGTTCTGGGCCTGCTTCTGATTCCAGCTTCCTGCTAATGCACACGGCAGGTGAAGGGCAAATAGTTGGGTTCCTGTTACCTATGTGATGGACCTGGATTGGGTTCCTGGCTCCTGGCTTTCAGCTCGGAATGCTGTGGCATTTGGGCAGTGAACCAGACAATGGAAGATTCCTTGTCTTTCCTTTCTTCTTCCTTCTCTCTCTCCTTTCCAATTTAATTAATTTTTGAAAATATATTATGAGAGTTGACAGCTGGTGGGATTGGATGGAATACTAGATAGCTTCAAGTGTAACAGAAAACCCAATGAAATGCTGTTGCAAGATGGGGCGCTTGGTTAATTCAGTGACTCAAGGACACATCAGGGTCCTAGGACTTCCATGTTTCTTTGTCAGCCTTACCATTTGGTGAAAGGGACGATGGAATTCAAGTAACACAGGCAGACATGTATTGAGTCATGTCCGCATTCTAAACAAGTCATTGTCAAGAGTAACAGACTGGGCGCTGCGGCTCACTAGGCTAATCCTCCGCCTTGCGGCGCCGGCACACCGGGTTCTAGTCCTGGTCAGGGCACCGGATTCTGTCCCGGTTGCCCCTCTTCCAGGCCAGCTCTCTGCTGTGGCCCGGGAGTGCAGTGGAGGATGGCCCAAGTGCTTGGGCCCTGCACCCCATGGGAGACCAGGAGAAGCACCTGGCTCCTGCCATCGATCAGCACGGTACACTGGCCGCAGCGCGCCGGCCGCGGCGGCCATCGGAGGGTGAACCAACGGCAAAGGAAGACCTTCCTCTCTGTCTCTCTCTCTCACTGTCCACTCTGCCTGTCAAAAAAAAAAAAAAAAAAGAGTAACAGACTGTCAGAGTTTGTTTTGACCCATGCTGCTTTACCCCATGGCCCCTGACCTGTACAAAATGAGGACTCTGTTGGAAAAGAAAAAAAAAAATGGAAGTAGAAAAGATGTCAGACAGATAGCCAACAGTATAAGTGGCATCTGTCAATAGCTAGTTGAGAACTAGGCATTGTGGGAATGAGTCACAAAAGAGGTAGCTGGATTAAGGGGGATAGTGCCTCAAAGACAAATGGAAGAATGAGAACACACTTTCCACAAGCTAGAGCAATCCAGAACATGTATGTTGAAGAAGAGCTAACGGCTTTGTAGTTGGAGGCCTAAAAAGAAGGCATGCTCACCATAGAATGACTGTGCTTCTCATGTCATCATTTTTTGTTGACAGATAGAGATAGTGAGAGAGAGAGACAGAGAGAAAGGTCTTCCTTCCACTGGTTCACCCCCCAAATGGCTGCTACGGCCGGCACGCTGCACCTATCCGAAGCCAGGAGCCAGGTGCTTCCTCCTGGTCTCCCATGTGGGTGCAGGGCCCAAGCACTTGGGCCATCTTCCACTGCACTCCCAGGCCACAGCAGAGAGCTGGACTAGAAGAGGAGCAACCGGGACTAGAACCTGGCACCCATATGGGATGCTGGTGCCGCAGGTGGAGGATTAACCAAGTGAGCCACGGCGCTGGCCCTTCACGTCATCATTTTCCCTCTTGCTTTGTGCTTATATCTAGTGCTATTCTTTTTTCAGGGCTGTCTCATTCGGAGATCAGATTCTTCTGGTGGGGATTTTTTGGCTCTTTAACAAAGAACAAGAGGTTCTCAAGGTCCTTTCCTTTTTGAAAAGATTTATTTATTATTTATTTGAAAACACAACAGAGAGAGAAAGGGAGATACAGACAGAGAGACAGATTTTCCATCTGCTGGTTCATTACCCAAATGGCCACAATGGCTGGGGCTGGGCCAGGACCCCAGAACTCCATCTGTGTCTCCTATGTGGGCAGGGGGAAGCCCAGGCACTTAGGCCATCCTCTGCTGCTTCCCCAAGTGTAGTGACAGAAGCAGAGCAGCCAATATGGGATGCTGGCATCCAAGCAGCAGTGGTTAACCCTCTGTGCTGCCTCCTGGCTCTTTCTTTTGAATCCTATTGTTATTACTACAAAGAGATAAACACAATTTCCAATTATTAGAAATGAAGCTTGTGGTATTAATTCAGTGGTTAACCAGTGAGAAGGTTGTCTCTGAAATGCAAGAGGAAACAAAATCTTCCCTACTCCTCCTAAGAGCTAATTATCAAAATTAAATAAGTAATAAGTATACCATGAAAGAGGTGGCTTAAAAACAGTCTTGAGGGGCTGGTGTTGTAGTGCAGCAGGTGAAGCCTGGTTTGAGTCCTGGAATGATTAAATATTTTTTAAATTTTTTTATTTTAAATTATAGAGGAAGTTTAGTGAAACACATGCTTTCACTTTTTTTTTTTTTTTTTTTTGACAGGCAGAGTGGACAGTGAGAGAGAGAGAGACAGAGAGGAAGGTCTTCCTTTGCCACTGGTTCACCCTCCAATGGCTGCTGTGGCCGGTGCACCGTGCTGATCCGATGGCAGGGGCCAGGTACTTATCCTGGTCTCCCATGGGGTGCAGGGCCCAAGCACTTGGGCCATCCTCCACTGCACTCCTGGGCCACAGCAGAGAGCTGGCCTGGAAGAGGGGCAACCGGGACAGAATCCAGCGCCCCGACCGGGACTAGAAGCCGGTGTGCCGGCGCCACAAGGCGGAGGATTAGCCTAGTGAGCCGTGGCTCCGGCCCTTTCACTTTCATGATAGGATGGGTAGATGACTATATTCTGCTAAGTAAAACAGGGATATGACTATTAGAGTCACTTTGACTATAAACATTTGGTTTAAAGATCACCCTCTGGTGAGTCTGATCTCTAAGCCCAGTTTCAGAGCACATTTGTGATATTAGTGGCAAACCAGATCCTGAAATATACTGCCCTGACACTCAGAGACCGGACTATGTGGCCATATGGTCGACTTCTGCCAGCTCTGTCTTGGTTCTAATTCCAGAAAGCAGTATCTTCCTTGGCAATCTTATTTTAGACATTTTTAAAGGAGGATTTCTTTGGAAGCAAAATGTTTGGTTCCTAGTTGACCTGCCGTTTTTTTTTAATAGTTTTAATTTATTTTTTTTAAAGACATTTATTTATTTGAAAGGCAGAGTTGGGGAGAGAGAAAGAGAGACGTAGAGAGAGAGGGTGCTTCCATCTGCTCTTCACTCCCCAAATGGCCTCAACAGCCAGGGCTGGGTCAGACTGAAGCCAGGAGCCAGGAGCTTCTTCCAGGTCTCCCACGTGGGTGGGTGGCAGGGACCCAAGCACTTGCGCCATCTTCTACTGCTTTCCCAGGTGCATTAGCAGGGAGCTGCCGGGAGCAATCCAGTGCCCATATGGGATGCCAACACTGCAGGTGGAGGCTTAACGTTCTATGCCACAGCACTGGCCCCTTGATCTGGTTCTTGATTCTTCAGAACTAGGAGTTCAGATACTCACTCCTCCTCATGCCTGTCTCCTGGAGACTTGCTTTCCCCTGGGCATGCAGGCGGTCCTGGAACTTCTCAGGCATCAGAAGCTGATCAACGTGCAGGGTGCCCAGGAAGTGGCTTGCTCAAGACTTGTGTTCAGGGGTGTGGAAAACTGCTCTTGGAAGCGCACGACTTTCCTCCTGGGTAAGCGAGGGAAGTTGTGATCTAAGGGAAGGGATGTGGCAGCTCTTTTTAATGATGAATCAGTTCATTTATTTGTTTCTTGGCTTTCATCCGTCGTACTCAGCGCTCAGGGCCTCTGCTGGTGAGAGAAGCTTCATTCTACATGCCCTAAAGACCTGGTTCCGTGTCCCATCATCTGCACAGTGGGAACAGCAGCACCTGTCTTTCAGAATTTCTGCAAGAGTAGATGAGAATATGCAGGAGGGACTATAGCAGTGTGTAGCACATAGCGGACCGCTAGCAGGTGTGTGTTCACCAATATCCGTTCTACAAGTTCTGTTGTTGTTTGTGTGGCCAACCTCCCTGCTGAAACCCTTGTCATACCACCTTGAGGTCAGATGTCGGGGGTGTGTGGGCGATTTGCCCTGCTGCAGCCTGTGTGGTCTGCTTAATCTTGGTGTGAGAATAAACTGGTAAAACTTTTCTGCCAAGCAATCTGGAATTTGTTTCCAAAGTTAAAACATGGCTAATTAGAAATAATTTTAACCAGCATTCTAGGAATTTTACCCAAGGAAGTAAGTATGCAGTTTGTATCCTAGGTTGTGGGTTGTTCTGTTGCTCGTGCCCCGAGTTTCTGGGTATCGGTGGGGAAGGCTGCTCGTCAGCCTGTGCTCTCCTGCCTGTCCAGCCCCAGTCCATCTGCTGACCACCACTCCTGAACAGGGCATGAGGGCTGTAGCCCTCATGGGCTGGGGAATCCAGAAAAGGGAGGCTTTGGGATCACCTGGGTTTGGAATAAGAGAGCTGTGTTGGACTTGGCTTTGGGTCCTCACGGGACTTCAGAGAGGAGAGGCAGAGCCTGCCCGTGAAGGGGGTGGCTGGCTGCTCTCCTCAGGCCGGAGGAGTCTGATTACCTCCCTGTTCCAAAGCTGGAAGGGAGCCAGGCGGCTGAGGAGACAGAGATGAAGGCTTCCCTTTGAGTGCCTCCAGGCAAGTGCCACTGCCTGGCAGCTCGGTACC